TGCACGCCTGCAGTTCGGTCGACCGCCCCTTTGTTTCCGAGTGTTTGTTTGCGCCGTTTCGATGCAATTGTGGGGTTCGAGCCGCACGATTATACGCAACAATACAAGGGATCAATCCTCAACAACAAAAGGCGCCTACGCACAATTGGGCGATACTACGGATCAAACAGATTAACCAATAATCAGAACAGTATAGCAGGTAATCGTCATAAACCATACTTGAGAATTGAAAATACTTGAATATAGTAAACCTGAACATGATGGCGAGGTAATCATTTTTATGACCTGTAGAGATCCACACACAATAGATAAACAGGACAATATGCATCAGCAACAGAACAAAAACACTGCATCACCTGGCCCCGAAAAAGAAATAGTTCAAGTAAAATATTGCCATCTCTCGGTTTTTAACTTCCACAGAAAACATTAAAAAGATAGTGGTCCTACTCAAACTCCTGCTGTATGACTTCCTCTTGAACCTCCAAAACCTCCTCAACTTCCACTTCTTTAGCTTCATACTCTTCCTCTGCATCGCTGGCCTCTCCATCTCTAAGCTGTATCCTCAGTTCTCTCTCTTCCTCGTGCATTTTCTTCCACTTGGCAACCCATTCGTCCCATTCTTCTTGCAGCATCTTCCTCTTCTTCCTGTCTTGTTCGCTCAACTGCAGTGATACATCTTGATCCTCTAGTTCATATTTCTTGCTGTACTTCTTCAAGTTCTTTGCAATCTCTTCCTCCTTCTCGGCAGTCAATAGTGAAGGAGGCCTCGGGCGCCACAAGAACTGTGCAATGAAAGTTCTCTAAAGATGTGCATTTTTTATAGAATTAAGTTCGTATTAAGAATGAACTGTTACCTGATAGAAGTGATCCTTAGGTATGCTGTATAGTAGCTTTCCGTTGAAGGACCAAATGTGGAATCCATTTTCCATCTCATGGACTGAAGTAACAGAGGTTGCAACATACCTATAGATGCGAAGGTGTTTATAGTATATGATTAACATGATAACAAATAAGTTTCATGAAAGAGGTTATAACAACCTAGTGTTAAAATTTTAAATTATGAAGTGCCTAGAAATGTCATATTGACTTGATTACCCAGCTTTTGAACTGCAGTTCCTTATTGAAAACTTCGATGCATTTCCCTTTCATCTGAAGTTTATTGAAGGCTGTCCCCTGGCATGAACCAAGAGAGCAGGTTTCCCCATGTTACATTGTTAAAACTTAAAGTGAGTTGCAATTTGCAGTACTGCTGCAAAATGCTTCCTTTTTTCAGTTTAAGCTGAAGCTGTCAGTTATAAAAGCCATAACCTAAACAGCTGCAAAGACATAGCGACCTCCAACTGGGCTTACAACCTAAGCCCACATACTGCGAATCATCAACCCCTAAATGAAGGCAGGTGTTTATCCATCTCTTATAGGTCTGCTGGAGTTTGTAACAATTCACTAACAAGGAATCTAGCGCCATTCATGGATTTTTTGATGTCATCCAAACATTATAATGGTGATTGTATGGTAAGGAAGGACAATGCCCCTTCCTCAGACCTCTCAGCTTCAACATTTATGTAGTGCAGAAAAGAGGCAAGCCAGCCCTTAATCATATTCTCAAATTCTGATCGAAATTTTTCTTAAGAAAAGTGTTAAAAAAGTACAACAGTAGGGGCATAAATGAGAAGTGAAGCATAAGGATACTGTAAACGCAAATATTAACTCAAAAATCAACATCTGCAAAAGAAAAGCATCGAGGCTCTTAAAATAACAGTGTTTACCTGCCAGTTGGGTCCCATTCAATGTCAGTGGCCATAAAATGTTCACCTGTGGCCATAGTCTCTAGCTCGTCAACATTGTAAAACTCCAACTGGCCATTAAAACCCTTCAGCCCCGCAAGAACAATAAATCGGCCACCAGGGGACCAGTAAAGAGCATTAGCCTGCTTGGACTTGAGAGTTGTAAGCTTCTGGACACGGCCTACATTCTGTGCAGTCCTCATAGTATAAAAGCTTATGTCAGGTCGTGGGCCATCTCCGTGGATAATGGCAAATCTGTGTCCTTTGGGTTCCCAGGCAAATGCAACAATCTTCTCAGTTTTGGTCTCGAGCTCTTTTCTTTGTTTTGGTATACCTGTCAACCTTTACAGCAAAATACTCTCCATTGCTTTGCCAATACATTTTGCAATCACTGACACTGAAGAGGTTTTTCTGCCTTAGTTCCTCTTTACCAGGAATTTGAACAAGGCTTACCTATAGAAGGTAAAAAGAATTAGATAATTCTATTGCAAAAACAATAACTTACTAAAAAAACTTCCAGCTTACTCTTGCAGGTTGGTTTCCACCGCCTAGCTCAGGAACAAACAGAGCAAGTATAGGGTCAGCAGGAGACCAACTGAAGTCCACGACATTCTCAACCTTGAGAGACTTCTTATCAATCAGTGTGAAAGTCTCAGTTTCATACACAGATATGATATTCTTTCCAATTCTAGCAAAATACTTGTCTTCTTTTCCGCCACCCCACCTGAAGTATATATGAATACATACACAAGGAATATGGGAGTGTAAAGTAAGGATATTGCATTTGGACAGGGATATACTATTAATTTTACCTGAATACGGGCCAGGAAACTCCAGAAACACCCCCACTTCCACCAGTAGTAAACTCATCTGCATTTCCTTTGAAGTCTCGCATCATTTTCCCAGTTCGAACATCGAAAATATTCAGTACAACCCTCTGAGTCAAACAAACCATGAAATCATGAGAAACAAAAGGGAGAAACAAGAAAAAGGCCGGACTAAATGACTAATACAATTAAAGCTACTTACATGAGTATCTCGTGGGTTACTGGGCTCATGGCTGCTGTATGTAACCAGATATTTCTCCCCAGGTGAGAAATCAATCAGTTTCACCTGTTTTACGTTAAAAAAAATGTGGTATAGTTTATGCATACAATCAAAACTCATGAAGAAAACATTATTAGAAACAGAGCTACCAGTGGGTGCGCATATCGCATCAAGCGATTAAAAGTAGCAGCACCTCCCCAGATAGCAGCACCCTGCCTGTGTACTGTAGCCAAGTATGTCCCAAGAGGAGACCACTGGACAAAACTCTCAGTCCAATACTGCAAAATGAGAAGCCCATTATTAGTTATTGTCACTTTAGAGTGATCAAGAGCAATAATAAAAATACATAATATGAATTTACCAAACTTTGAAGCATAGTAAAATAACTACTACTCCATATATACTCACAAGAAACATGAGATAGAAAATGCATGTGATTCAAGATGTCACACAAGAGTAATATAATAGCTACTAACTCAGACGTCCACAACAAAATAGATATTTTAGAGTTCCAACATGAGGAAAACGATGTAGCGAAAATGCCAACATCACATGGTGGCCACAATAAAATTAAGAAACAATCTACAAAGGGAGGAGTCATTTGCTAACATAAGCATAACTCATAAGCAAAATTTTCATGAACAAAAGTAGGAAGTCTAATAAATAATAATATCAACAACATGATGACTTATAACAACAACAATATGAAGAGAATAATGTTCAACACAGCAATCTGCTCCACATATTAGAATCCTGATCTTCCACTGACCGCAAAGTTTATTGCTTTGGCAACTGTTTACATCATAGTAAAACACGATGGACCTTGAGTACAAGAGCCAATATCAAGAACTTCTGTGAAGACCACCTCCTACCAGGCTGTCACTATAAAAAATGAAGTTTCATATTCACAGAAGGATGCAACTTGTGCACAAAAAAGAATTTAGACCAACTGTAACAGTTGGCTGTTAGATCTTTAACGAGATAGCTTAGTATTGGGATTAATTTTTCAAGGTTAGAAATTAGGATTTCTTAAACTGCAAGCATTTGTTGTAACATTTTGGGTAGGTCAGAAAAGACATGGCTAACAAGAAGAGAGATTCCTTGTCATTCAAACTTATAGGATCATGCTAAGAGAATGAAACCTAATCATTTCATCAAAACCTATGTCCCGTATAAGTTTACACAACGAATTGCTACATATAGATAGTTAATGATATCACAAGTATTCATTCATTTCAATAGATAGATATATTTTCATACTTCAAGCTCAACTGATAAAATGAACGTACTCAATTTACTCCGTCAAAGGTGATAGTCATTGCTTACCTGGCGCCTGTAAACAAGTTGAGGCATCATCTGCCGAGGATCATTCCAGAAAACCTCGGTAAAAGCACCAGCACGAATAACAAACTGGTCCCGAGCCTTCTCGTCAGTCAACCATTGCTGCAAATTCTCCTGCAACATCACAAGCAAACAACCAAAACCCATCAACTTTTTTAAAGCAATCAACCTTTAACACAAAAACAATCATTTCCAATAAAAGCACTCACTCCGGGTGTGTAAGGCTTAATCTGTGCAGGTGTCCACTCATCCGGAACATTCATATACTTGTCAAAATCATCAAACAAGTTAACAGCAAATATGTGAGACTTATCCAACTTATACCCATTTGTCTTCTCCCTTGCTAGATCCGCTTCCTATAACAAATCAAATAGAGTAAACAACAAATACATATCACAACACGCTGATAAACATCTACTAACAAATAGGGTAAACGTAAGAAACGCCCCTCACCTTTGAGGTGACTTGCACAAAAAAAAAGTTATAAGGAACCCCCTCAAATTTAGGGAATTTCACAAAATCTCCCGAGCTTTGAAATTCCACCCTTTTATATAAAAAATTATCTCAAGTTCAGGGGTTTTTGTTAAATTTACCTGAGAAGTATTGTACTCGATGAAGCAATAACCTAGGGTTTTCTGAGTATCAGGGTTAACAGGCATCCAAAGGCCTCCATCTTTAATCACTCCAATCTGACCATAAATCTTCTTGATAACATTTTCAAGCTTCTCGAATTTCTCAGGAGGAACAACGGGTAGATTATCAACAACGATGATGTTTCTAAATCCTCCCTCAAATTCAAGAGGATCCTCTTGAAACAAATCCTCATCATCATCGCTGCAAATGTTGAAAAGAAATTGTGAATAGAACTTAAAAAATTGAAATGAATTAAGTTTGAATCTTTACCTTTCGATTCCGAAATCTTCACCAGGAGGAAGAGTGATGGAGTCGAGATCGACGGAAGAGATATCGATGCCCGCCCGCTTGGCGCTGGTTTCAATGTCTTCCATGGATACAACTGCTGTCATTGTTACTGGAGCAAAAATTTATGAAAATCGACGGATTTTATGCGATCGAGTTGGAAACCTTGGGCATCAATACACCTTCAGTAGATGTAAATCATGTCAAGAAGATATTTCAACTAAAAAAATCAATAATTTTGCACAAAATCATCGCTTAAAACCTTAAATCTAACAATATTCTATCAGATCTACAACAAATACAACGAAATATCCGTGATCTGTTTAAAAAAAGCAACACAAATCCTAAATTACCTCAAAATGATCACATCCAATGACATGTAGCATCCTTCACAACAGGATTAACCGCATTTTATATGTTCCGGATGTATTTACTTACTTTTGATGGACATTTGCGTATTCATTTTCAAAATTACAGTAGCACTAAAAGTAGTTCTTTTTATTCAATATCTTTATGGGGGAAAAAAGTACCTAAGGCAGCCAATAGAAATTTACTTTTATCAACAATGAATACGAATAATAAGGTCTCTTTTTTTTCAAAAAATACATATAAAATTGATGATAATGCAAGAAAGAGAATACGATACTTTAGTACTTACTTTAGGAATAAATATACTTACACCTATCCTCACGAGTCGGACAATACTATGTTATTTCCTCTGCCTGTATTGGTATTATTTACTTTATTCGTCGGAACAATCAGAATTAATTTTGATCGAGTAGTAATGGATTTTGAATTATTATCGAAATGGTTAACTCCTCATGCAACTCCAGAAATGTATCAAACAAGTCAGATATACAAAAAAATGTCACTCAGGAAATTCCCAATATTGCTGTTAAACTCAGATACAGCTTATGTTCGCAGCTTAAACTAAAAGCTATACTGAACAATTAACATCTCCAGACACATATAATGATAAAGAGACAAGTAAGGATTAGTTTGCAAAGCTATACTTCATAGCCTTGGACACAAGCATCAGACAAAAAAAGTTGCAGGGTGTTAAAACCAGGAACTCACAAAATCTAGACATAGAAACATTTATGTTTTATGAAGCTTTTTTTGCGTGCATATATAAATTAAAAGTATGAGATAGCATATAAATACTACAATTAGCGAAAGAAATTAAATAATCAAATTAAGTGTTTTGTCGAAAAGGAACAAACAAATTCACTATGCTTACTGCTTAATATTGTAACAAACAAACAAATATTATTATTAAATTTAATTATGAAAAGATTGAAGAGGAGGTCTGAGGAGAAGAAGAAAGAAAAAAATAATACAGAGGAGGCAGACGGATGGAAGCAAAACCTTGATCGTAGCAGATGTTGAATCCTGAGAGGAGACGGCGAAACGCTAACCGGAGACGGAGACGGAGGGCGGAGACGGAGACGGAGGGCCTGAGAGGAGACGGCGAAACGCTAACCGGAGACGGAGACGGAGGGCGGAGACGGAGACGGAGGGCGGTAGGGCTGGAGCGGCGGCGGCTGGTTCTGAGGTTCGAGAATGGAGAGCTAGGTTTAGATTTGCGATTTTACGGTGAGTGAAGAACACGGGTCGGGTAATTAAAATGGGTATGGGTTATGGTCGGGGAATTAGAATGGGTATGAGTTAAAACGACTGAGAATTAAAACCGAACCGAACCGCTAATTTTTGGTCGGTTCGGTCGGTTTTTTCGGTTTGGACCGAACCGTGCACACCCTAGTGAGCATATGAAGAACGGGTCGGGTAATGAGTATGGGTTACGGGTTAAAAACATAATGGTAAGCTAGCGGTAGGTTCAGGCGGTTCGGTTTGAAAAATTTCAACCCGACCCGAACTTACTTATAAATGAAACCGACTCGAACAGTTAATTTCTGATCGGTTTTTCGACATGGACCGAACCATGCACAACCCTACTTGAGAGGAGGCGGAGGTAAGAGGACGCTAAAAACTCTAGATTGGATTTTAAATTCTCGGAGGCCGAGTGTAATACTATACTGATTGGGGTTTTACGTTTCGGGCCGGGTTTTGTATAGATGTCATTTGTGAAACCGTTTCAGATGTGAATAGGAAAGGGCTCTCCATGGGCCCGAGTCAAGTAAAGTAAATCTCATGAAAAGGCAGTCCAAATGAAAAATATTTAAAGCCCAACTTTGCCCCAACCTAGAATCCAACCAAAAGGTTCTATTTGCATATGCACTCTTGTATCGTAATTTTTTTGGGTCTGAGCCACGAAGTGTCGCCATCCTATTGGATGGGACTAATCACTGCTCGCGCTGGGCGGTAGGCGCCGGCAGAATGGAGTTTAATTACCTGAGAGAGGAACTCGAACGCATGACTCCCGCTATGAACCGTCCCCACTCAGGGGTTCAAGGTACCTACCAACTTAGCCACCTACTCCGGTACTGAAATAGTGGGTAAACACAATAGATTTAGCTTTTAAGGAGTTACTTCTCTATCGGAACAGTTCGTGGTGGATCCAAGTAAAACCTTGACGTCATTTGTACAAGATACAAGCTGGATCCTTGATTCTGAACGAGCAACAACTAAATTTATTCTAGTCTTTTTTTGTTACTTTTGTACAAAACCATCTCATTTCTCCTCCTCAATTTTGCCTGGTTTACAACATAACCGGTGTATCAACCAGAAATACAAGCTACATTCAGAAAATTGAAAATATTGTTCGTGTGTTTCAGAAAACTGGGCATTATGCAAGCAGCGAGTGGCCTAAAGCCTCTCCACACTTCTGTCCAAGTTTCAACCCTCTTCTTTTCTGCCTTCACACGGCTTTATCGCCTCGCAATTGATACTCCAGCCTGCATATATCACAGAGGATAATGTAAAAGATATTGAAGTAAAAGCTATAATCATGGTTCATGAAATTAGTTATGAATTATTTGTTAAAAAAAGACGCAACAAGTCTAGAGAAACTAATTTATATAATCCTCATTAGACGCATTAACTTAAAGAAGTTATGAATTTGGATATGAATTATTTGTAAAGCAAAGCTGCAAAAAGTCTTGAGAAATTATAACTTAAAATAATATTTATTAGATTAACTTATAGACCAAGCGTCACAAAATCAGTTATGAATTATTTGTGAAACAAATATGTAAAAAGTCTAGACTCAATTATGAGCAATATGTAAGAAAAAACTTGTGTGTAACATCAATACCTTGCATGCATCCCAGGGTTATTTGTCTGCTTACTATGTCAATACTAAAAATACTTGGATCATTTGTCTCCCTCAGAATCTGATTTTTCAAAAACAGGCTTCGGCTAAGTTGCAGCATATGCACGTGCGATGAACTTTGGTTCCGTTGCAGCAGCATCAACGTACTTAAGTATTGCTTCTCTTTGGTCTTCTTCCATCCAAGTCTCCTTAATTAACCCTCCTTGTTGCAAATTCATCATTAAGTAATTAAATGTCATTAACTTCTCGAATTCAATAAATTTTAGTAGAATTCTATAAAACAACTGCATACCTTGAGAAGATCCTGAGTCAGTAAGCTTCCTTTAGTGGTACCAACTCTTCCTCCAAAGCCTGTGTTAGCACCCTAGAGGAGGGTGAATAGGGTTTATGCTAATCTTATTAGATATTAATGTTGATTAAAAATTATTAACAAATATATCCCAACAAAATTGATATTCAATAGATTAACGCAAGGATATATAAACAAGAGCAAATAAACAAGTGTGATAGAGCGTAAATAAACAATGCAAACACAGGATATAATTACGGAGTTCGGTCAACCACTTGGCCTACGTCTTCGCTCCTCACCTCAAGGAGATTTTCACTCACTACAACAAAATACAACATTGCCGACGAAACAAAAACGTCGGCAAAAGTCTAAAAAACGTCGGGAAAAATCTTTCCTGACGCAAAATGCAGCGTCGCTAATGCGTCGCCAAAAGTGCGTCAAGGAAAATATTTGGCGACGCAAATACACTGCATCGCCAAAAGTACACTTTTGGCGACGCGTCATGCGTCGGGAAAAGTATATCTTTTAGCGACGCATAATAATTTGCGTCGGCAAAAGTATACTTTTGGCGACGCATGCAGCGTCGGCAAAAGCTATGCGTCGGCAAAAGTATAGCTTTTAGCGACGCTATCTTGCGTCGCCAAAAGTATAGCTTTTAGCGACGCAGAGTGAAGCGTCGCTAAAAGCTATACTTTTGGCGACGCAAGATAGTGTCGCTAAAAGCTATACTTTTACCGACGCAAAATAACGTCGGTAAAAGTATAATTTTTTGCAACGGTAAATAGTATAATTTTATCGACACTAATTTGCATGACCAAAAGTAATACCTTTTCTGCCAACTACAAGCCTACACTAAACCTGAACATCCACAAAAAATTTACTCCCATTCACATCAACAAAGAAACCAAACATTAAATTATACTCCAAACAAGTTGCATATTATGATAAACAAAGAATTTGCTCCCATTACAAAATAATTACATTCATTCCAATTCCAAGTCAACACTCAAATGCCTGTTTAAATATTCCAGTTTGTCATATTCAGTGTTTTCCATTTCAGAGAATGACACATTATAAGATTAATATTCCAGTTTGTCATATTCAGTGTTTTCCATTTCAGAGAATGACACATTATAAGATTTACAGGAAACTAAACTAAGTTGAAAGTGTTTTCCATTTCAGAGAATGACACATTATAAGATTTACAGGAAACTAAACTAAGTTGAAAAAAAAATAAAGTGAAAGAACAGCACGATCAGTAAACCTCTTCACAGATGAAGGTTTATTCTCTTGTAGAGTTTTTGCGACTCTGTCTAACTCCCACATTTGTTGCTTTGCAGTCACTCTATCAGGGCCACAATACATATCCATAAGCTCTTTCATGTGTGGTAGCCTTTCCATCAGTTCTTTGATTATTTCCTGTTAGAGATGCTAGAGATATCAGTTCTTTGATTAAACAGTCTTCTATACAGTTTAAAACAGAAGCAAGATTTTCACGCAAAATCATAGCAAAGATCATGCAGACAGAGACTAGAGGCATTTGAAAATTACGCAAAAAGGAAATTAGAGACACCCTAACCTATCCCTCTCCAACTAATATTTTCTTCTTCAACATTCGTTCTTTATTATCAGCATCAGCTTCAGCTATCTCTGCTTCTATAGGAATAAAATAGCTTCTATAGGAACTACCTCAATCTAGCTCACTCGTATGGTGAAAAACTGATCAATTTGATGGTAGCTGTTTCACTAGTCTTAATAAAAAGTAAATGTCATAATAAATAGGTGCGCAGGATGTTATGGTAGCTGTTTCACTAGTCTTAATAAAAAGTAAATGTCAGAAAGAACAATTGGAAATATTTATCCCTCACACGGACTAAAACAATAAACTTTAGTGTTAGATCTAATAAGGGATATTCTTAAACTTTGATCTATTGAGGTGGACATTTACAGTTCAAGTATCAGCCTTTACAATGAATGTGCCGCAGTTGTTCAAGTATCAGCCTTTACAATGAATTTGCAGCAATATGCTTCCAAGGCCCTCCTGAAAACCACTTGTTTCATGGATTACTTTACACTAATTTCTTTACAATGACATAATATTAACTGCAGAAAGCAACAGAACAAATGAAATAATAGACCCAGAAAAGCCGTTTATGGTAAAGAAGCATTAGTTTCAACTGGAATAAGCTTGTATTATTTTACACAATCTTATAGTTTTATTACATGTAATTCATCAATATAATCAAGATTTTTATGAAGGCGGTAAAAGGGGGGAAAACATACCTTTCTGATGATATTACGTATTGGTTCAGCAATACTACGTGGTTCCACCGTTCCAAATGTGACACTTGGTAACAATGGGGTAAATGCAAAATAGTTACGAGGTGATATCACTTGTACATCATACAAGGAACTATCTAGAGTTTTCAAAAAACTAGTCCCTGCCCAACCAGTTCCAAGAACTACAACTTTCTTCCTTTTAGATGCTTGAGATAATTCAGAACCAATGTCTGACTTGGAATCAGCATATGCCACTAGTCCTCTGCCACTGCAAAGGAGAATACAAAGCTACGATGTTAGGTACAATAATAAGCCAAACTGAAAAAGTCATCGGTTTATATCATGTCTTAATCAAGATAACCTCATTAAGTTTTTCTTTCCCTTTTTTTTGTGGAAGAATATTCTGATAGCAGTTTGCTTTATACTTACTGATAAACTAAAGCTAAAGGGGGTTGAACCAATCTATGTTACAGACAGAGATGATATCTCGTACAATATATGAAATGCATGAAACATACATAACGACTGCTTTAACAAAAAAAAGGGCAGTTTCATTTTCTCAACAAAAAATGAGGGCAGTTTCAGAAAGAACTTTTATTTAGTAAGCTCTAGTAATTAAAAATATCTCCTTAACATTAACCAGAATTTGAGTTTAAATAAAGAGTGGAAAATCTTCTCTTTAGAAAATGAAACCGCCACATTTTGGTGTGCAAAGGCTTAAGATGTTTCATGATCATGGGCTTTCCTGATGCTGGGATTTTATATTTTATTTCTTTATATTTTGTTACTTTAAATTTTACATTCATTGTTGTGGACCTGTGTTATTTATTTATGATCTTGCTATAATTTAATAGTGTATGTCTAGAAACCATAAATAAGTCTAGTAAGAAAAAATTAAATGCAAGTCTGACCTCATCTTGATGATAAATCTCTATTACCACCGCTCACTCAAGGCTGGCTACGTGCAAGCAAATTATCTACATACGACCGCAGAACTAACAGTTAGCTGATCAATTCTTAGTTATTGCTATAGCTACTTGCAGAATAATCTACATACGACCAAATCAGTCTAAACAACTGCATAATTGCGTACCAGGCAAGTACACACTAAAGCAGAACCTGCACCTGCAAGCTGAAGAAATTCATGTTGGTTGGTTCTCTGTTTATATATATATGACCACAAATCTTGTTAATGAGTGGTCCGATAGAAAATCACGCGAGCTTGATAATTTGCCACTCAAACTGCAGACCCACTTCATTCACCATGATCTTAGATAGAAAGCACAGAAGGCAAAATGATCCTTACCTATGCTTAAGGCTTCCAAATGAATGGTCAAGATACATACATGATTTCAAGAAGGCAAAATGATCCTTACCTATGCTTAAGGCTTCCAAATGAATGGTCAAGATACATACATGATTTCAATCGCCAATGAGATTCATGAATCAAATGAATGGTCAAGATACATACATGATTTCAATCGCCAATGAGATTCATGAATCGGAAGCTTCCATACATAGTGAAACGTGATATATTTCCAGAATTAAGTCATATAATCAATCGGTTAAATCAATCTATTAGATGAAGTGACAAACTGAGATTGCATATTAAGATGTGAGTGCATGACATAGTATATCTCTCATTTGGTTTTCACCAACTCTCCTGTCATCTGAAATAAATTATGCATGGCGTTTCCACTTCATTCAGCAAAAATCATCGAAGTAAGATTGAGTCATGACTGAATGGCTACAATTATTTGTCTCCCTAAATCTATCATGGACAGAAAGATCAATGCACGCATGCAATTTTCGTCAACTTCATAGTAGTTAGTGACACAGTGATCCATGTTTGTGCACGCAATTTTTGTGATCTTACATTGATCAGTATCTCCCTAAAATTGATTTCTCACCACAAGTTATAACATACCAAAAGACCATTGAATTCATGTAAAAATCTAAAAGCTACCTCGAATTCTCCAAATGCCTGCAATCTCTCAAGGATCTGGCCCATGGGAGCAGACAACACCTACAAACAACAGGATCACCGTCATCAACAACAACAACACAAACAGAAACTAAAACAACAGTAAAATGGAAAGGGAAAAAAACCCATCACCTTTATCTAATCCAACCATTTTCTAGCAAATCAAAAGGGAAAAAAAATAACATCGAGCATAAGGGAAAGAACTTCCGATCCGCATTTCACCTTCTTTTCCATGACGCAGACGCCAATCTTGATCTTCTCTCCGGCGGCCGTGGCCGCGGCGGCACCGTCGCCGGCGTTCTCCTCCGCCACAGCCATTGAGCTGAGAATCAACCTAAAGAATCGAGAATCTTGAGGGAAGATTCAACTAAGATTCAAAGGAACACATCACATCATCATATTCTTTGTTACTGCTGTCTATTATTTATTATTTGATCTTCATCTAAAACTAGCAATTAATGCTGAAATCAGATAAGAGGGGGGGAGAATAAACCCTAATCCACTGCTTCCCAAACCGCTTGGACTCAATAATTTACGATTCAAAAACCAAAAACCCTAAACCTATGAAGAAACCCTAGGATGAGAGAGATTGGGGGTGAGACGCTAGGAGAAATTCTTACTCAGGACCGCCGCTCCTCCCTCATCGTCTCCCTCTCTCGCGCCGGGATTGAGGCTGGGAGTGCTGTGGCGTGTTGTATTGGGCCTCGGACTTCAGCTCTCTGACGATGGCGGCGGCGATCTCCGACGAAGGCGACGAAATTCAGAGAAGAAGCACGGGTTTAGGGGCGATTTTTTGATGAGAGAGAGAGAGCGGGGGTAGGGGTTTTGGCTCATCATGAAAATAAAAGGGGGGAATTTTCCCTCCCTTGTACGAGTGGGGAAATTTTCGGGGGCGGGTGGGGGGAGGTTTTGGCGACGCGAATAAATAAAGAAGCGTCGTAAAAATTTTAACTTTCAGCGACGTCAAATAGATACGTTGGGAAAAGATTACTTTTAGCGATGTGAGCCTAATACGTCACGATAAATGCATACTATTAGCGACGTTAATCCTAAAACGTCGCTAAAAAGCTATATTTTTTCCGACGAAAATAAAAAAATGTCAGGAAATCCATAACTTTTACCGACGCTAAGTTAAAACGTCGCTAATAATATACACTTTTAGCGGCGCTAATTATAAGCGTCGGGAAAAATATATTTTTTGCTGACGCTAACTAAAAGCGTCGGGAAAAACATAGTTTTTGGCGACGTATTTAACCATACGTCGGGAATAAGTGTCGGGAAAACTGCAATTTGTTGTAGTGACTATCACAACCGGGTTTTCTACGTTCACCTGAATAACGTTTACACCTTACACTCGGTTTTCTAGCTCATCGAAAACTTTACAATCTCACACTCTTGTAATCACACTCTACACCCTCTAAGTGTTGGTCTCTAACCTGTGTCTCCCTCAAGTGCTTGGATTTATAACATCTCCTTAGGATTTACTACTGACTCCACTCCTCTTGGGACAACTCCGTCTCTCACCACACTCTCCTCTCGGTGTACAATTGTATTACAAAGTGATCTACACAATGAAAGCTCAGATACAAATAAATTGTTCTCTACAATGGATGAGAACACAATTAAGCTCACACTTTTAAGTCACAAACCCACAACCCCAAGTTATACTAAGTATGCAAATACAATAAGCTCAAGTGGGTGTGTGTAACAAAGAGAATAAATCAAAACTAAACTCAATATAAACTCTAGCTTAATAAAGTGATAATCAAACAAATATATAAATGTAAACCTAGATTGAGTTTAGAAAAATTTCTCTATAGATCAAGAGTGAGAAAGAGAAGGAAATGAAGCTCAAACACCATAAGATGGTCTCCTCTTGCTCTTGTGAAAATTTCTTCACAATCCAAACTCTTAAAATGCTTAAAAGCTTCTTAAACAAACTTAAAACTCTCTTAAACTTGTTTAAAATATTTCTTAGTTAGTGAGAATGATAAATGCAATGAGGTATATATAGGGTGGAAGAAACCAACCTAAGAAACCCCCAAAAACACCCAAAAAGCTCTCAAAACAAAATCTGGAAATAGCCGTTAGAGGGCAACGATCACTACGGCGGTCGACCGCGTCGACATGGTCGGTCGACCATGAAAGACTGAGAAGCAACACTAGAAAGTGAGCTTCTGGCCGGTCGACCGCGGCGACACTGGCGGTCGAGCGCGAACTGATACCAAACCTGAAATGTAGTTTTCTGATTTTAAAACCCCTTTTAAAAATATCAAATAAATTCAGAAAAATATAAAACTTTGGAAAATGACTGTAAACATGATAATAAGCATGTTATAAAAACTGGTTTTCAAATAGCACTTCTCATTTGATAAATCTCATCATTTTGCAAAATCACATACGTATGAACATGTTAAAAACTTGATTCTGTCAAAATGACTTAAACAAAACTTTGAAACACTTTAGAATGGATTTAGAGACTTATACAAGATATGAAAATAGTGTAAACAAGTCTTCAATCCATAAACATAATATTTTGCAAATTTAATAGAATATGAAACTCATAAATGTGAAAATGAAGATTTATATTGTTTCGTATCTATATAGCTAAACCAAAACAACTTATCCATAAAGAAAACAAATAAGTATTATATATCTTTTTGTTTGCAAAAACTTTGTTTGTGGATAAGACAAAAAATGGATAAACCAAGAAATCGTGTGTGTATATAAATTTGAGCTTAAAGTATTAAACACACAAAGTATAAACCTATACTACATTACCCAAGCTTGAATGATTTTCATTTAGCTCTTTCTTGGATAACATTACGGATGAAGCTTGAACTTGGATCTTTAACTTGAATTGCATTGCTTCACACCACTATTCCGCCAACCTCCATTGGATATAATCGTTGAAGCGCAATTACATCCAACCTCAACACATTGTTTGTCTAGAGTAAATACGAAAACACAAGCACTAGACAAACAATATTAATTGTAAATTATTTGTTAAAACATCATCAAAACAAAAAGACCAACAATCTCCCCCTTTTTGATAATGACAAACAATTTATAAAAAGAGATATGCATGATACGAAATGAATATATAAATTATAATTATCATGCATATAAACAAGACTAGATATACTCACAGTATTTCTCCCCCTTCGGCAACATCAAAAATGGGAAAAATGATAAGAGAGCGAAGGCTCCCCCCTACCAAAATGCCTTAAGGAATATATGCAATGAAATGCTAAGGCAAACATATGTGAGTAAGCATAGATGAACAACATGCTAAACAAAACTCACATAAAGAAAGACTAAGTGAACACATAAACATATATCATAAAGAGAAAATGTCACGAGAGTCTAAAACACTAATATACTAAAAACAAAAGATTAAAAATAAGATTTGAAAATCAAAACTCAAGAATCAAAAGATTTATCAATAAATTCAAAAAAAAATTATAAATTGTCAAACTTAAATCATGTTTGATTAAGAACACATATAGACATATTATTGTTAAAGGTGTCTCAATACACAAACATAAAAACATTATATGGATTTAAACAAAAGTAGATCGTGAAATCAAATAAAGAGAAATCATGAACCTCATGAAAGTTTAAATAAAAACCACACATGATATCAAATGAAATTCAAAGTCTATATGTTGTATCATTTTTATTTGATTAAAAACAAGATAGGCGAGCATAATAAGCTCTTGAAACTAGTTTCAATCCTTACAAAGCTATTTGTACCCAGTAAACATGATTTGGAAATAAATTACCAATAAATCCGGAGGGGTTGCTCAATCACATAAACCTCTCATTTAAAACAAAGTATATATCCATAAAGAATGTTTGATCAATAAAAGAAATATTCTTTGTAGAATTTGATCAAACCACATAAAGAATACATTATAAAGCACAATATGATGATCCATACGCTCAAACACACAAATATCATCATAAATGTATTTTATAATGAATCCGTAAGCACAAACATATTGTTCATACCAAAAACTACATAGTTCAAAACCAAAACTATCAAATATATGAGAAACATGAACTATGGTTAAAGCACAAAAATAAATTATTTTTTAATTTTTCAACAATATAAATGTATATATATATATATTGAAAATAAAAATATGAACCCTAAAATCTAAAAACACAAAATAAACACAATTAATTTTGTTTCTAAGAACTTTTGGTGCTGAAGGATTTAGGGACATGACCCCTATCATGAAAGCTCAAAGCCCTAGGGTTATGATCCCTTTTGGAAGCATGTGGTGCACTAACACAGTCAAAATAATATTCATTTAAATGATCATTTCGATTGCAATTTGTGCAATGAAAAGAGTGAAAATGTTTGTGTTGACCAAGTGGGCGTGCACGGGAATCATTTGCAAACATAGATGATCTTTTAAATTTATTTTGCAAATGAGAAACATTGTTAAACAAACATGGTTTATTTAAGAATTTGGCAAGTTTGAATATTTTCTCAAATCAAAACAAAACTTTGTCAAATGGCCAAATCTACCACAAAAATCATATTTGTACACACTAGCATGCTTATGATGAACTTTATGAGTGTGTGCATGTGTGTGTTGATGAGAAACCTTATGAGATACACAAAAAGCTTTAATCTTAGAGGATTTGTATGCATCATAGCAAAATTTAACTAAATGATATTTTCGGCCACAAATAGAATACTTGTAAATTTTACTATATATGTGTGCATGATGTATGGGATGTTTGGATGTAGTAGCATGAGACTTAGCACACATATCCATAAGTTTTTTGTGATTATTAATACGTGTAGTAAGGGTTGAATCTAAGAATAAAATGTGATTTTTAACATGATTCAACTCATTGTTGGGCACATATGCATTGGTATTAGAAGTAGAGCATGTATGATTATTCTTAAAAGAATCAAATTCATTTCTAATAGCTTCTACTTCTATCATGGCATTGTTCTTATCATGAGTTAAGCTAGTTATGGATGAGGTCAACTTTTTATTTTTCAAACTTAACATATCATTGTTTTCTTTTAATATTACATTTTTTTAGTAATGATATCAAGTTTAAAAACTAGCGACTCATGATCGGATTTCAAAACAACATGCTTGCTTTTTAAGTTTACAAAATTTTGTTGTAATTTAGTGTAGGCATGTGATAATCTATCATAGGCACAAGCGAGTTCATCAATAGTTAAATCACATTCAGATTCGGACTCTCATACCTCGCTAAGGCTATCGCCTAGTGGCCGTGTGCACAAAGAAGATGATGATGCTCCACTAGAACTTGAGGAGGAAGCCACCAAAGCGCA